GGTGGACCAGCTGGGGTGGCTCCTCGCTCCGTGTTTGGCAGCAGATACTGACACTCGTGTGGGTTACACAAGAGCAGCCAGTCCTGCTCTCTCCCCTGCGTTCCCAGAGCTCCCTGCTGTGGGGCCGGATTCCTGCAGCCCCAGCCAAGACGCCCGTCCCACGTGGGGCGGGGGCAGGGGACAGAGGCAGGACCCAGGCTCCGGGCTCCCAAAACCCTGGGCGCAGAACGCACCTGCCCTGTGCTGTCCAGGCTGCAGCCCCTCATGGTGGGGACAGTTAGGTGAGTCTTCGTGGGGGTGACGGTGAGCTTAGAGCTGAGCAGGTTGCTCATTAAGAGCCAGAAGGGAGCCGGCCAGCCTGGCTCAGGGGTTCAGCATCGACCTATGAACCAGGAGGTCACGGTTCAGTTCTGGTCAAGGGCACACACCTGGGTTGTGGGCTCCATCCCCAGTGTGGGGCGTGCAGGAGGCAGCTGATTCATGAGTCTCTCATCATTGATGTTTCTCTCCTCTCCCCTCCGCTCTGAAATAAAAAAATATATACATATAATAAATGAATGAATAAAATAAAAATTATTTTTTAAAAAGCCAGAAGGGAGACCCTCAGAGGGGCGGAAAGGACGCCCGCCTCAGTGTGGCGGCTGGGAGAGGAGCCTAGAAGAGGGGATGATCCTCGCTCCTCCGCCAGCTGCCAAGTTTCCCTGTAACCTAACTCAGCCTCCCGGGCCCCTGCGGGGCCTCGGCTGCTGCTGGAGGCCGAGTCCACGGCTGATTGTTTTGTTTGGCTGACAGCGTGTTTTACAAACATGGGCCAACTTTCTTGAAGTGGAAACATTCACATAGAAATTCAGATTTTTAGCTCTTTGGAAAAAACAAAACACACAAACTGTCAGTGCACAGAGGCCCCCCACCCCCACCCCCGGGGCCCCTCTGTTCCTTCATGCTCATTAAGGTGCTGCCCCTGAGCTGGGGGCCAAGTCCCACCCGTCACACCCCCTTGCCTGGTTCTGGTTCTGGTTCTGACACGGGTCCTCATGACTGGTTGGGGACCTACCAGTCTCAGTGGCTAGACCTGGGCAGCCAGTATGACCTTGAATTCTGACCTGAATTTTACTTTATTTTTAATATATTTTTATTGATTTCACAGAGGAAGGGAGAGGGGGATAGAAACAGCAATAATGAGAGAGAGTGATCTCTATCCCGCTGCACGCCCCATCCCGGGGATCCAGCCTGCAACCCGGGCATGTGCCCTGACCTGGAATCGAACCCGGGACCGTTCAGTCCGCAGGCGGCGGCCGCTCTATCCACTGAGCCACACCACCCAGGGCTCGGCCCCGAATCTCCGGTGGTGGCGACGGTCACTGCTGTGAGTTCTCCCAGAGCCGGCCTCGGCCCCACGCCACACGCAGGGAGCCCCAGGGAGCAACGTCCAAGGGCGCCCAGCCTGCCCGCCGGAGTCCGCGTTTGGATCCTGGCTGGTCTGTCGCCAAAGGCTGTTCCGTAACAAGGGCCGCTCCCCACCGAA